TGTTATCTGTGATGTAAACTAGTTGGGAAGATTGGGTGGCTTAGTGGTTAGCATTGCTGCCTCATAGCACCAGAGACCCAGGTTCAAAACCACCCTCCGTGTGAAGTTTGCACATTCTCCCCGTGTCTGTGTGGGTTTCCTCCCGGGTGCTCTAGTTTCTTCCCACAGCCCAAAGATGTGCAGGTTAGGTGGCTTGGCCATGATAAATTGCCCATGGCGTCCAGGGATGTGCAGGCTGGGTGGATTAGCCATGAGAAATACAGCATTACAGAGATGGGGTAGGGTGTGGACCTGGATGGGATGCTCTTTGAGTCCACCTCAAAATTCGGACAGACTGAATGGCCTGTTTCCACACTGTAGAGATTCTATGATCAGTGTCGACCAAATCCCATGAGAATAGTGTTATGTTGTAATCTTGGATCATAGTGCTCAAGCCCACACAACTATCTGTTTTGCTTTCTCAAGTAGTTGTTAATTGTGGATGTTTATGAAGTAATGGTTTAGAATAACTAGCCAGTTGATGTGGGAGCTTATTCTGTGGCAGATATAGTCACAAATGTAGACTTTGGTGACTCCTTTTTTTTCTGTCCCACCGTGGTGACTTTTATACTTCAGAAGTCCTTAAATCTCTGAAATGCCTTTGGATGTCCTAAGATTATTCTACAGATGGTCAGGAGGTAGAGCGGCTTCACTGCTCATACTTTCTGCTGTGTCATGACCAAATTGGGAATGAAAGACTGATTTAATTTAAATGCCCTGTTCCTTCACTGGCTTCAATAGAGGTTGAATTGAGAACAGAAATGATTTTGCCTACATATCCATGATTATGTATAGCTTTGTATCAAAAACAAATCAGCCATGTTCTTTTAGTTAACAATAAAGCATTAGCTTTATTGTAAGCACTTGAGCAAACTATTTAAAACAATAAAGGTTCCAAATGTGCAAATATGTTCAACTACCCTTTGAAAAACTTATACACTTAACAATCTGCAGTACTTATAAAATCTTAAATCTTTGCCCAGTCACAAATGAGGTCGGAAAAAGGTTGGCTGCAAACTAGCATTTGAACATAGTTCCTTTGTGCACAAAATATTGACATTGGGATCTGCTATGGCTGATTGATTTGCTGATTTTTCTGGAGACAATGATGTGGAATTGGGCTGCTTTTTTTTTTTAAAGACTTCCCTATTTATGACAACTGTTGTCTTCCAGTGGGTTTTCAATTCTCCGGCTGGGATTTATTCTTTCCAAGTGTGGGATTGGCGTCTTTCAAGAGCAAAGGCCTCTACCATTCCTCAAATGTGGAAAACCGCTGGATCATCAAGTGCCAGTCAAGTCTGCCAGAAGAACTCTTCGATCTATTCAGTGACTTGTTGGAGAAGTCCTGCCCTGCCTGAAGCTGTCATCCAATCAGATCTGCTTCCAACAGGAGCTGCAGAGACTTGGTGGAGGCCTAGGTTGCTTAAGCATGAAGACCAGAATTGGTGAAGAGGTCTTTTTTGGTAGGGAACAGGGAGATTGTGACCACACTCACACCAGTGCCCCCATTCCCTCCAATGTGGCAGGTAGGTTTTCTTTCCCTTCTCAAGAAGGCACTTGTCTATTCTTAAATTTAAACTTCAGTAGTTAGCCCCTGGTGGTGCGTTGTAATAAAAACAATTAGATGGTCAATGGAAATTTATCACAATTAAATCAAAATATTGCTATTGAGGGTGAAGATGTACCCCAGCTCCTGTGGTGCCCACCAGTCCCTTTTTTTTTTTAAAAAAAAAAAGCAGCCACTTTTCTAGCTGAGTAGGGATGCATGTTGAGGCCCTTCAGTGTTGCTCATTGACCGCTTGAGGGTCTTAGTTGTGTTGGGATGGCCAACCATAGAAATTCCTGCCTGGCACTTGATAGGCAAGTGTTGGGAAAGTAGGTAACTCTTTGGTGTCAACCTCTTTGATATTTTGCCCTTCCTGCCACTTTCCTTGCTACCTCTCCAGAGGGGAAAATGCCACCCACAAACTTTGAAAGGGGTTTCGGGGGGGAGAAGAAGGGGAAAGATTGGTTTCTCCTGGGCACTTTACCCCTGTCCGTCTTTGCTCAAATGTAATATGTCTTGCACACAAACTGGATCATGTGGTCACCCTGTGAAAGAATGGTGGAGCCAGTCTTACCATCCCACAGCTTGTGGTGTTTGCAAAAGCAACATCTGTTGTTGCAACCACCTCTGGTTTGAAAGGTGCTTTCTTTAAAAAGCTCAAGATACACACTCGTGCACGATCAAAGGTGTTGTAAATAAGCTGGATGTATTGATTCATTATTGACATGCATTAACATTTAGTTAACAGATCTTCATTACTGTTGTGATAATCTCTTTATCATCAACATCTATTTCTCCTCCTTTCTATAGTCAAGTGCCTATTTCCACTGCAAAAAGTAATTCTAACTGAAGATTTGCAACTCTGAAATCTGGGAAAATTGAGTGCTGCCCTGGCCACTAGCAGAAATGTTATACAGTGCTGCTCTTTTGGAAGCTTGGCACTAGTGTACAAATATAGCAATAAAAACAGAATTTGTGTTCTGCGATTTTAAAAGTTATGGCACAGAGCAACGAGCAGATTCCCAATGGGGCCATTTGGTCAGAAGCATATTTTGATTTCTTTTTGAGATGTTTGATGATAGAGGGGAAATTTGTTTAGCAGCTTGGTTTTCCCAACTAACCACAGAAATGCAGTCATGGCTTTGTAGAGTCAGCAACCGAAGTGAACCTTGCAATCTCCTGCTTCATCCTTTTTTGGAACAGTTTGTACAGAGAAAATTAAAGTAGTACGTTTCCTGTTCTGAAAATATATCAATGATCGCACAAACTAGACATAGCTGACCATTGGCTGAAGTAAACAGGAGTCTCCAGGTTGAACTGGCACGCTTACAATATCTTGTGTTCTGAATTGTTGACCGCTTTAATGAAGAAGTGTGGAGGAGGAGAATATGAGCAACACTGGATACTTGCAAAGAGCATCAAGGATTGAATTGGATTATCTTCCATGCTCTGTGTTTTAATTGTGGGTCTGAGACCAGTTGGGTTTGTTGCTCTTTTATGTTCTGTTCCCAACAGTTGATTAATTATAGCATTTGTGTGGAAATGTAAATGGCATTGATGCTTTTGAATGTAATGAGAAAAACACTTGCGTACTTCTGAATTGTATGCATTGCTTTATAATTGTGGGTCTGCTTTTATTATTGTCACAGATATAAGGACCTGCTAGTTTATACTGTATGGTCACAATGCTGCGATTCCAGTCATGTTCTTAGTGAAAACGTAATAATATTCTTTATCGTACACCACAAACTTGCTTGCATTTGAAAACAATGTAACTGGGTTTGTAATTGCTGCACGTGCCAGTACTCAAAACTTACATTGACTTTTTAATATCTCAAATATTTTAGTAATTCAAACAAAGTATATGTAGGATGCTTCATGGTAATAACATGTATCTTGGCTGGCATTCTCTACTTCTACCAATGTTATCTGGGGATCCTTTAAATGGAAGAATGAGTGACTTATGAATGCAACTGTCTTTTTATTATGGATCAACTTGATTTAGTCAAATAATAATAACTAATTTTTCAATCAATAACTAATTTTTAAACCTGGCAAACCACGCACACTTTATGTAATCCCAGTTATTGATTTGCTATTTTGTTTTCTTCTTAGTTTTCCATCTGTCTGAAAAAGTCACGTCGGTGGTACCAGAAAGTGCCCTGCTGATTGTACTGGGCCTCATCCTGGGAGGAATCGTCTGGGCCGCTGATCACACTGCCTCCTTCACTTTAACACCAAATGTCTTCTTCTTTTACCTGCTGCCACCCATTGTACTGGATGCCGGATATTTCATGCCCAATCGGCATTTCTTTGGGAATCTTGGAACAATTCTAATGTATGCTGTCATTGGAACAGTATGGAATGCTGCAACAACTGGCCTATCCCTATACGGTATCTACTTAACGGGGATTATGGGTAAGGAGTGTGGCTTTGTGTTATCTAATGGAAGTGCAACCAGACTACAAGTAGTGGTCATTGCTCTCTGGAGTATAATGTATCTCTCTAAATGTTTTTGAAGTTATTGGCTTTTCCCAGGCATTTAATACCAATAAGATTTCTAACTGGCTACAGGACATGTACAAGTAACATTACTCTTGACACCTAAGGGATTGGCTTGTGCCTGTTTTGATTCACTGATGGAAATCCAGGAGGAGCTAATTTTTCACTTGTAGAAGTTTAGCCTTCAGGAGCTTGCATGTTGAATTGATGCGGAGGTGCAGATGTTGGACTGGGGTGGACAGTCAGAAGGCACATGACACCAGGTTACAGTCCAACAGGTTTATTTGAAATCGCAAGCTTTCGAAACGCTGCCCCTTCGTCAGGTTCCGAAAACTTGTGATTTCAAATAAACCAGTTGAACTATAACCTGGTGTCATGTGACTTCTGACATAGTCTTGAAAACATTCAATCAGAGTGTCAAGCTTCACCAGAGATTTTTGTTGTAATTGAGAAATCATATCGCTAAATTAGAATTATTTCAGGAATGTGATCAACCTAACATCTCATTCGCCAATCTAAGCTTTTAGTCTCTTTAGAGAAGTTAGATCAATGTTTTGAAGTACTGTATGTGTACATGTACTGTACTTATTACATGTAGCCACATTGTACTGGTTAATGAGTGATCTGTTTGCAGTAAATTTGCACAAGTAACTTACTGGAGTTGTGGACTTCCAGATTTAAAGTAATCAGTAAAAGAGGGAAAATGATATGAGGAAAATTTTAAGTGTGATTCAGGTCAGGAATGCTAAGCCTGAAAGTATGGTGGAGGCCAGTTCAATCACTGCATTTAAAAAAGAATTAGGTTATTTAGCATGTGCAGGGTTACATGGAGAAGGTAGGAGAATGGCAGTAGGTAAGATGCTCAAGTGGAGAGCTAGTACAGACAAAAAAGTACAATTCTTTTCACCCTTCTACAGGAAGAATGTTGTTAAACTTGAGAGGGTGTGGAAAAGATTTACAAGGCTGGGTCTGGAGGATTTAAGTTATAGGGAGACGCTGAATAGGCTGGGATTATTTTTCTGGAGCATCGTAAACTGAGGGGTGACCTTTTATAAAGGCTTATAAAATCATAAGGGCCATGGATAGGGTGAATAGCCAAGATCTTTTCCTAGGGTGGGGGTGAATCCAAAACCAGAGTGTAGGTTTAAGGTGAGAGGGGAAAGACTTTAAAAGGGTCCCAAGGGATAACTTTTCTTCACGCAGAGAGTGGTGCATGTATGGAATGAGCTGCCGGAGGAAGGGATGGACACTGGTACAATTAGATAACTTAAAAAGACATTTGGTTGACTATACAAATCGGAAGGGTTTAGAGGGATACGGGCTGAATGCTGGCAAGCGGGACTGGGTCAGATTGGGATGTGTGTTTGGCATGGATAAGTTGGACTGAAGGGTCTGTTTTCGTGCCGTATGACTGTAAGTGCAAGAAAACTTGCACAACCCATGTCATTCTGAAGTACCTGTAGCCAATGGAGTCCTTGTTACTGTTATAACACATGAAATGGGAAAGCCAGTTTGCTCACAAGCTTCCAAAAGTTGCAACTTCAAAATTTAACTCTTTCGGAGCCATTACCTTGTACAATAATTTCCTGCTAGGAGGTATCTTAGCTCTTTACCTTTTGCATATGCACATAATAGCATAATATACCTGCGCACATGCACTGCATTTTCTTCCTGATTTACACCGTCTTACAGGCTTGGCAGTACTTGCAGGTTCACCAGCAGCCTTTTCTCCCTCCTCCAAGCTCTCTGTTTTCGGCAGCTCCCCATCCCCCACCTGTCCTATTCCTCTGTAATACACACTTCTTCCCTGCCAAACTCTTTTACTCTCTTTTTATGCCCAAACAACCCCACCTTCCCCTGGTTGTTCTGTAATGAACCAATTCTGATTCACTGGGTATAGGAAAGGGATTGATGGGCTTAAAAAGGTATGAGGTATTTACTTCGTTTTGTTTTATGTCAGGCCTATGCCCACTACTGACTTACCCCAAAGGTGTCTGATTATGAAGAGGTTTTGTGGTTTCTGTTGGGCCTTTCCTTCTGTAAGCTTCCTGCCACTATTCATTTCCCAAAAACATAATTCTGTCCTTTTGTTTTTCCTCTCCCCACCTTCCTAGCTAAGTACTAATTCTCAACCTTACCTCCAATGTTAAAATCTTGAGGCAGGTGGGCTTGGGTGGAATCAGGGTGCACACACATTGCATGGCTCTCAAACCCCCCTACTCCATCTGCAGGATGCTTTTTTCCAAGATAAAATCAAATTGAACTTTTTCACCATTCCAGTCATTTCAGGGAACTGTCTTGTACCATCAGGTGTCCTAGAATTCTAATTCTAAACCTTTCCAGATCTTTCTCCATGCTGTTTTTTTACATGCTGTTTTAAGGCCTATCTTTATAACTTCCTTCTTGGGTAGATTGGTGACGATTGCTGACGTTTCTGTGAAGCACCTTGCGATGTTTCGTGACATTTGCATTTGCATGGCACATTGTTACTCTTGTTGCAATTGAAAGCTAAAATTCCTTGTGGTCTCAACTTTGTTTGCAGGAGATCTAAAAGCTGACCTTTTGAAATTCCTCCTGTTTGGCAGTCTGATTGCTGCAGTTGACCCAGTGGCTGTGTTGGCCGTGTTTGAAGAGGTCCATGTAAATGAAGTATTGTTCATCATTGTGTTTGGAGAGTCTCTGCTGAATGATGCTGTCACTGTGGTAGGTTTAGCCGCATGTTAACGCCTTGGTAGTTCTCATTTTCCAATTGTTAATGAAAGGATCAAATTTACATTCTTTAGTTTGGATGACATATCTTGCCCTATCAGAATCTTGAGCTAGATCTATTTTTTTTTGTCTGCACCCAAGCCTGTGACAGCAGATTTTGTGTGGAGACAAATCACTAGTACAGTACCTTTTTTATTATTCTGACTGACAATAGCTTTCTGTGTAGTTTTTTGCTGTTTCATAGAGGAGTAATGTAAGTTGAAATGACACCACCACCCCCCCACCCCCAAACAACTCCGACTGAAGTTTCATTCTCCATGTGACACATCCACTCAATATATGTATCTCTGTGACATTGACTTTCTGAGAGGGAGGTCATGTCTAACAAATTTGATTTTGAATTTTTTGAGGAAGTGACTAGATGTGGGTAATGCAGTTGATATAGTCTACATAGACTTCAGTAAGGCTTTTGACAAGGTCTTGCATGACAGACTGGTTAAGAAGCAAACAGCCTATGGGATCCAGGACAATTTGGCAAATTGGATCTAAAACTGGCCTAAACGGCTGGAAGCAGTGACAGTCAAAGGGTGGTTTTGAGTGAAAGCTGTTGGTGTACCACAGGGTTTGGTGCTGGGTTCCTTGCTGGTGGTTATATATGTTAATGATCTAGACGTGAATGTAGGAGGTACAAGCGGTAAGATTGCAGATGGCGTGAAAATTGGTGTTCTGGTCAATAGTGAGAGGAAGTCTTGGTTCATAGGATAATGTAGACAGGCTGATCAGATGAGTTGAATAGTGGCAAATGGAACTTAATTCTGAAAAGTGAGGTGGTATGGTTTGGGAGGGCTGATAAGGCAAGGGAGTACACTTTGAATTCTAGTACCTTAGGAACTACAGGGGAGAGGAGAGACCTTGTGGTGCACGTCCATTTAACCTTGAAGATAGCAGGACAGGTAAATAAGGTAGTTAAGAATGCATAGGGGATACTTGCCTTTATTTCTCGAAGCAGCACCGAATACAGCTCCCTGCTTTTGTATGTAGGTTAGTTACTCCGCAGCTGGAGTACAGAGTGTAATTCGGTCACCACACTACATAGGAAGGATGCAGTTACACCAGAGAGGATGCAGAAGAGATTTGCCGAGATGTTGCCCGAGTTAGAGGAAGTCAGCTTTGAAGAGAGACTAGATAAACTGGCATTGTTTGTCAGAGCAGAGAACGCTGAGGGGATTTGATTTGTACAAAATTGAGGGGCGTCAACAGGGTAGATAGGGAGAATCCTTTTCTCCTTACAGCAGTCAAAAACTGGGTGCACAGTTTCCAGGTGAGGAGCAGGAGGTTTAGAATATGTAGGCAAACGTGAATGTCAAGAGTTCTTATGCATAGAGCTTTGCCAGAATGTATTGAAAGAGCATTCGACAAAGATTTTTTCAGCATTGAAAATAGAGGTGTTAGAATTTAAAAACAGTTATTTTGAGACTTTATAATATTTTGGACATGCCACAACTGAGGTATTGCATGCAATTCTGAAAAGAATGTGGGGATACTTCAGAGGCTTCAGGAGATTTACCAGGACGGTTTCCACAGAATTTAACTAAAGGTTAAGTTGGAGAAGCTTGGGTTCCCATTGAACAAAGGAAAGGTGTACAAAGTTATGTTATCTTTCAACTAGGATAGCCAAAGAAAATCCACTGCCTCCAACTGATGGTCCAATAAAGGGACAGATTTACACTTTTGGGCAAGAGTTGAATGGGGGGTGTGTGGCAGAGATATTTTACCACGTTGTTTGATAACTGAAACTCTATCTGCAAGGATAGTAGAAGAGGAGATAATCAAAGTGTTTTTAAAAGGGAATTGGATGGATACTTGAAGAAAATTTCTTAGGGGTGTGGGGATAGAGAAGAGGAATAGGAGTAACTGGCCTCCTCAACAGACAGCAAACATGGAATCAATGTGTTGAATAGGATTTTTCCATTGCCATATTGACTGATTCTACTCTCTCAATTGAGTTACATTTTTCGTGAAACCTGTGAATAGACGAAATAGGCACATTTTGCATAATTTACATCTGGACAATCCTGGCATTATCTACCTCTTTCTGAAAACTGTTATCATTACATTCTAAAGGGGTTCCAAATGCTGAATTATTTTTGTAGTATAACCCCCTGTTGTGTAGGTACATATGACAGCCAATTAATGCACATCAAGATCCCCAAAATAGAAGGGAAAAGACCCTATTGTTACAGCATCTATCATGACACAAGAGTATCTCAAAGCCCACCATAACCAATGAAATGCATCTGATATGTTGTCATTGTTGCTATGTTGTCACTTTTTGAGGTTGAGACTGTTAACCAGAACAGTGGATGAAACATTTCTTTTGCTGTCTTTGACTGTCGTGGCGTTAATTATGTCCGCCTAAGTCGGAATTAGTCGAACATGTTGGTTTTAATATTTCAACTGAAACATGGCACCTCTGACAATGCAATATGAAGAGGTGCTGGGCTGGGGTTTGTGCTCATGGCTGTCTAACTGCGAGTGAGAGCTATTTCGTTTAACCAGTGGAGCTCCGCTGAAATAGTTAATCCGGCAAGTTGCATAGTCCTCGCGTGTTATTAATAGGACAGATATTGGAAGACTTGGGGTGACAACTGGAGAATGAGGCGTGATGTTTGTTCTGTCAGTTTGGATCCAATAGTTAATCGGGACTGAAGATGGCAGGTTAGGAGGGTGGTGTGAGGGAGATTACAAGACGGGAAATATTAGAATGACAGTTTACTGAACATCCTACATTAATATAGTTCCACTGTAGCCTCCTCTTTACCCCCTTTTCCAGAAAGCTGTTGAGGTGTCAAATTCAAGTTTCAGGTGGCGGTTGGGCCAGGATATTGAAAGCATCAGGGTAGTAGAATAAAAGTAAATACATGGGGTTACAACACTGATTTTAGCCATGACCTAATTCATTGGTAAGATACGCATGTGAAGCATTTGTTCTTGTGTTCCTCTTGTAAGTTTGACTGACTGACTGACTGACTCTTTTTTTGCAAAATAGAAATTCTAACTTTATCCACTCAACTAAGGAACTTTTACTTGGTGCAAACATGCTAGTGACAATTGCTGTACAAAAGAGATGGCCCAAGAATGTTGCATATTTGAATTAGGTGTGTGCAGGCAACAATTTCATTCAATATTTAAGATATTGCAAAAACCTATTGTAAAAATTAAGATGCCTGAACATAGGGAGTTTCTTGTATCCAAACAGAGCTTCTGCCAAGTATCTTTTCTGCAACATATAGATTGAATTTGGGTGTACTTAGTACTTCCTGTTTTTTTTTCTTTTTAGGTGCTGTACAATGTCTTTAGCTCATTCGTTCAAATTGAAGCAGAAAATATTCAAAGCCTGGACTATTTCAAAGGCATAGGTATGAAAGCACCTCTGGGTAAAAGGAGAGAGCTGCAATACCACAATATCAGACATCACAATCTGACCCGGTCCCATTTGCCACAGCCCTTGGCCTAATGTCTACTATTGTTCTACACTGTTTACTTGACAGCTTTTCTTTTAGTGCTGCTTGGACATTGCCTTCCATACTTGGGGTCAGATTGAGGAGAAGATTTTGTGTCCACCACAGGCAGAAAGACAGGCAAACCTGCACTATGTAGGTGTTAATCTGTATCATGTATTGGCTTTCAAGGCAACTGACCAAATCAACCCCCTTTCTATGGCCTTTTCTGTACGGAAGGAAACCTGCCCTGCTTGCCTAGCTGTGACTACATGGGACTCCAGGTGCACCATTGGTGCTCGAACATTGTTTTAGTTGCACATGGACAGAAATGTTGGCATCTCCAACCTGACTGCACTGAAGCTTCAGTCTAGACCATGAACGAGTCTGGTGTTTGTCTGAACTCCAAGCTGGATTTTCATCTTGAAAGTGGGTAACTTGTTGAGAAATTTCTAGGATTGCACACCCGATTTTTGTGGGAGAGGTGTGGAGAAGGGGAAAATACCTTGAACGGCACAGTTTTTCATTTGTGAGGGCTGTGGCAGACTGTTTAAAAGGCTCACCTCTGTTTTCTGGGACTTCCTTAGTCATATTGTTAGGTATTGGTCCCTGTAATCCCCATTCTCAACCACTCCCTGCACCCTTTCCATGTCAACACATGCCCCTCCATCTAATTCCATGAATCATCATGCCCTCCATGTCACTTTATGCCCCATTCATCTCCACAGGCCTCTATAAACCCCTATGCCAACTGTCATCAATTATGCTCCCCATACACACTTGCATTCTCCACCCAGTGTCCACCGCGGATAGTCCTTGGTTTTCATGCCGAGGTGAAATAAAGTGCTTAATACTTTCTTAGACTCTGCTGTGTACAAAGGTTACTTTTTAAAAAAATAACCTAATTCATGAAAACCCCTTCAATACATTTAAATTCTTCACAGACTTCATACCTTACAACAAAAATAACTAACCCTTAAATAACCTCTTGGAGATATGAGTTAAAGAATGAGCTTAAAGACTCATGCTCTGATAAGGTCAGGTTTTTGGAAGCAGTAATAATTGCATAATAATAGCACTCCAGGCTTTTTCCAAATATTTATTGAAACTACTCCAGTACATTTCTTTTTACCCGGGCACAGCAATTTTTTTTAATCCAATCTTTAATGGTCTAGGGGTTTAAAATAATTTGGTCATTCTATATACCTTTTATTCTGCTCTTCATGAGCATTGACCCATCTATGATAAAGCTATGGAATGTACCTTGTGGGCTGACTCTGTTCCTGGAACAAAGATCAGATCTACTTGTCCTCCAAATGAAGTTTAAATGGCTCAGCTAATTTATGCCTGGCAATTGACAGCCTGCTCCCTTGTCGTTACTAGTGAAAATGTAGAGGTATCTCCAAATCCAGGTTCTGTTTATCATTCTTTTAATTAAGTCCACAGCATCTTCCTGACTCCACAAAAATCTGATCCATGTTCTCGTACCACCGAGGCAACACTGGGCTATACCTGACATACACTCTTGGAAGTAAATATTGGAGATACCAAATGCCCTGTATTTTAGCTCAATCCAAAATTTCTGTTCCTTCCCCACTGACTCTGCCTGACAACTGTCTGAAGCTGAAACACACTTCTTGCAAATTTGTTGTAATATTTAATCCAGAAATGATCTTCCAATTAAAAATCCAACTTGTGACGAATAAAGGGGAAATAGGGTAATTATAATTTGTGATTCCTCTTCCCCTCTTGCAGGCAAAATGTAAGTTTGTTTTTTTTCCAGCCAGCAACTTGAACACTGAAATGGATAGAGGTAGTAGGAACTGCAGATGCTGGAGAATCTGAGATAGCAAGGTCTAGAGCTGGATGAGCACAGCAGGCCAAGCAGTATCAGAGGAGCAGGAAAGCTGACGTTTCAGGCCTAGACCCTCCTTCAGAAATGGAGGAGGGGAAGGGGGTTCTGAAATAAATAGGGAGAGAGGGGAAGATGGATAGAGGAGAAGATAGGTGGAGAGGAGACAGACAGGTCAAAGAGGTGGGGATGGAGCCAGTAAAAGTGAGTGTAGGTGGGGAGTTAGGGAGGGGATAGATCAGCCCAGGGAGGACAGACAGGTCAAAGGGGTGTGATGAGGCTAGTCGGTAGGAGATGGGGGTGGGGCTTGTGGTGGGAGGAGGGGATAGGTGGGAGGAAGACCGGCTAGGGAGGCGGGGATGAGCTGGGCTGGTTTTGGGATGTGGTAGGGGGAGGGGAGATTTTGAAGCTTGTGAAGTCCACTGAAATGAATAGGCAGGCTGCGAACTCAGACTGGAGTCCTGGTTTCCATCTAGATGCCAAGCAGTAACTGACTTAAAATCCCAGAATTGTATGCTTGAGCAATTCAGCAAACTCTGATAGTTGTCACACAACAAGGACAGGTATTTCAGGTGCTGATGGCTCATCTCAGTGGGCTAATTGGAAGCTTGTTAATCTACCAGTGTATCTTTCCCTCCCCATTGTGAGGCAATGAGGTAACTGCAAAAGCATTAGTGCTTCTTCAAGCATAATGCGTCTTCATGTCTTCCTTTGTCCAGATCAGGCTGGAAGGAGATGGCCCAGAGATAAGCACTTCATCTTAACATTAGCTGGAATGTCTATGCAGTTCAGGGGTTCAGAAGATTCTGGTAATAATCATGTAACAGTGTTGGCTATTCAAGGTTGTCCATTTTTTTTGAAAGAAACCGAATTCAACCTGAAAATGCAGAAAAGAAATGAGGCGGTCTATTTCCACCTCTGTCACCCATGTTGGGCCCAGCCTTAGCTTCTCTGTGGGAACCTTCTCCCAGTGCTTTGTTACTTCTAGATTGACTGACCAATATACTCCTGGAAAGCCTTCCATCTTCAATGAACTTAAGCTTATCTAAAGATCTACAGCCCATATCATCATTTGCACCATGTCCTGTTCACCGATCTGCCCTGTGAACATGAACTTGCGTGATGACCTGATTAAGCAATGCCTTGATAATCTTGCAAATCTTTGTATTTAAATTGCTGCTTCCTACCTCTAACCCTATCAAGCCTTCCAATCCTCGGAAATCTGTGCCTTGCCCCCTTTTTTGGACTGATTTTGACTGCTCTACCATTGGCAGACATGCCTTCCACTGCTAGACCATAGCCTTTAGGAATTTCCTCCCTAGACCCTTTTTTAAAAAAAAACCATCTCCTTTGATGAAGAATCAATCTGCCATACTGTCTGTGTAGGTGATTTGATAGCAAATGAAATTTGATAATACTCCAGTGATGCACCTTGGAATATTATAGTTCATAAAGAGTGCCATGTAAATTCATGTTGTTCAATTGATATCTTTGTTCATACTTTGTTGTGTAAAATGTTAATCTGATGTCTAATATGGGATTTTCTGTTCTTTGTAGTTTCTTTCTTTGTCGTGAGCTTGGGTGGCACTGCTGTTGGCATCGCCTTTGCATTTCTGTTGTCCCTGGTAACCAGATTCACCAAGCATGTGAGGGTGATTGAACCTGGATTTGTCTTTGTCATTTCATACTTGTCCTACCTCACAGCAGAAATGCTTTCCCTTTCCGCAATATTAGCGTAAGTAATTTCTTAAAAAAATCAATTCATCATTGACCCAGCAGCTCTCTCACTTACATGTAGTTAATGTCAGCTGTCTATACCATTAATTGTGAATGGGCAATGCCTCGGGCACACAGAAGAAAGGGGAATGAGGGGCTTTCCTACTGAGTGAACAAGTCACCATCAGGGTTGTAGTATAGCTGTTATAGTTTGTTATGGTGTACTTGGGCTCTAGAGTAAGTTTACAATGGCCGCTCACTCCTTTTTGGAAACTGAGCTGGTCTTTTTTTTTAAGTGAACACAGGATCACATTTGACTCTTATGGCTCATTCACACATTAAAAATTGATAAATTGGATGAGCATCCCTTTTACGTGTTCCATGTCCACTCGCTTAATTCGCAAACATGCAAGCTAAATGTTCAGAATAGATGATCATCATCAAGTTTGTCCAAAACAGAAATTGCTGGAGGAACTGAACAGGTTTTGGCAGCATTTTTGGAGAGAAAGCAGAGTTAACATTTTAGGTCCAATGACCTTTAGGTGGAGACAAAGCCTAGAAAAGTAAGAAAGAAAGAAAGTTAGACAGACAAAGGGATGGTTGATAGTAAGACGGGGAAGCAGAAAAGCTGATAATGAGGACCAATCGGTAGGCGTAAATTATTTGGCTGTGCTGAAAGCAGTCCATGTCACAACAAGTTGTGGGGGTGGGTAAACAACACACTCGATATTGCAGATAGTAGGAACTGCCGATGCTGGAGTCTGAGATAACAAGGTGTAGAGCTGGATGAACACAGCAGACCAGGCAGCATCAGAGGAGTAGGAAAGCTGATGTTTTTGGTCTGGACCCTGAAAGCTTTCCTGCTCCTCTGATGCTGCCTGGCCTGCTGTGTTCTTCCAGCTCCACACCTGGTACACTCAATATTGGGTTGTGAAGGCTGCAGGGTTTCCGGGTGGAAAATGAGATGATGATCTTTTCTGGAGCCTTGGATGTTGAGGATTGGGCAGTTATATGGGCAAGTGTTGCACCTTCTGGGATTGCATGTCAAGCTAGATAGGGTGTGGGGATGCTTCAGGTGTCCATTCCCCATTCTTCTGTGTACCCAAGCCATTACCCATTCACGGTTGAGGACATGAACTCGGGTGTTTTATTTTATACTTGAAATGTCTATGGTATCTGATAGTAACCCAGCAACTGCCATACTTCGAGAGATAAATTGGCAGTCTTCTGAGCTGAGAAGTCAAGAGCTCCATGACGACTTAGTCTCCTTTTACAAATCAGGAATGGAAATTTTGGCGAGGCCTCTCGAAATGACTGGCCATCTTTGTTCTTCAGTTAGGTGTTGAAACATCCATGCACTGAACATGGAGTGGTAAAATGCTGGTTGCTTTGGCAGTCAGTACAGTCTCCTACGCTTACTGTTAAGAGTAAGTGGCGAAAGGGCTACGTTCCTCCCTGCATTTGGGCAGCTATTCTTCCAGAGCTTCCCAGGGGCATGTTTATAGATTGATTAATGAATGACGCGATTAATTTCTGTCAGTGTTATTAAGGTTTTGCATCCGTTCTCCCTGCCCTTAAACCTCATGGTTCCTTTTCCCTTAGCATTACGTTTTGTGGCATCTGCTGTCAGAAGTACGTCAAAGCCAATCTCTGTGAGCAGTCCATCACCACTGTCCGATACGCAATGAAAATGCTGGCAAGTGGAGCGGAGACTATTATCTTCATGTTTTTGGGAATCTCTGCAGTAGACCCACAAATATGGACATGGAACACAGCTTTTATCCTTCTCACCCTAGTCTTCATCTCTGTCTACAGAGTTATTGGTGGGTGCTGTTGTATATGTACCTTGTTTCCAAGGTTTAATTATGGAAATTTAGTGACCAGTATTTGCTGCTCGATCCCTCCATCATGGTTTTTGCTATTTAATGGGATCATTTATCATTTTTAATAAGACTCATTTGTATTTTAATTCCCCGCCCCTTAATACTTTGACATAGCAAAATCCAACAATTTCCACTTTGAAACTTTCAGTTGACACTCAGCTTTTGGATGTTTGTTTGAGATTTCTGCCAACTCCTTTATATGAAGAAGTGTTTTCTGCTGTTCCCCTGAATTCCCTCAATCTTGTTTTACGTTTATATTTCCTTGTTTTTAACATTCCCATCAGACGAAATTTGCTTCCATCAATCATATCACATTCTTAAAGATCTCCAGCAAAAACTGAAATTGCAGGAAAAACTCCACAATGGAAACATCAATGGAGAGAAAGCAGAGTTAATTTTTTGGGTCTAGTGACACTTCTTCAGAAAATATCTCAAATTTATCATTCATCGATCTTCTACATTCCAGTGAATGCATCCTATTCTCATAATATGAGTCTTTTTGCCCTATTTTCTTGTGAATCGGATACAAAGTCAATGTATAATTCCTGAGATTCACTGTCTATTTTACCACTAAGATTTTTTTTTTGGCATTTTACTTGTAATGGCTTCATAGATTTGTTGTGGGTTATTTTGCAACTCATAGTTTTAAGAGATGGAATGAATTCTGTTCTATTTATGATTTTAAAATCATTCTAAATGTTGTTTGTGACAACATACACTCCTATCAAACGCAATGCAAGCATATCAGTGTGTTTGTCTAACGTTGAATATTTAAACACCTACAGGCTTCTGAAATTATTTGCTTCAAGATTTTCTTTCAGTTTGTGAGGGACTTTGATCAAACACGTGATTGCGTTCTGAGACAGGAAAGCAGTCTGACCACAATAGATGAGATAGCTCTCAATTCCCTTGTGGATTGGCCACCAATGGTACCTTACCTTCAGCAGGCTGGAACCAAGGCTGGGGAGTTTGTCTTGAGTCACCTGAAGTGGCTCAGGCTAGACTTCCAAATAGAAAACAAATGACTTATCACGGATCTCCCATGACCCATGCAATTGAACTCAAAGAATCCCACCTCAGCAAAGAGTGACAATAACTAACATGGCATGATAAATCACAAGTTTCAAAATCTCCCCTCCCCCCACCGCATCCCAAAACCAGTCCAGCTCGTCCCTGCCTCCCTAACCTGTTCTTCCTCCCACCTATCCCCTCCTCCCACCTCAAGCCGCACCTCCATCTCCTACCGACCAACCTCATCCCGCCCCCTTGACCTGTCCGTCCTCCCTGGACTGACCTATCCCCTTCCTAACTCCCTACCTACACTCACCTTTACTGGCTCCATCCCCGCCTCTTCGACCTGTTTGTTTCTTCTCCACCTATCCTCTCCTCTATCCCTCTTCTATCCGCCTCCCACTCTCTCCCTATTTATTTCAAAACCCCCTTCCCCTCCCCCTTTTCTGATGAAGGGTCTAGGCCCGAAACGTCAGCCTCTCTGCTCCTATGATGCTGCTTGGCCTGCTGTGTTCATCCAGCCCTGCACCTTGTTGTCTCGGATTCTCCAGCATCTGCAGTTCCTACTATCTATGATAAATTAATGCATTGCTTTCAAAATAGTACTCCTCTTTTGACATCTGTTTACCAATCTTGCCAAAATCACATGGTATGAAAAATGTGCAGCAGTGCTGCATTTTTTTGACTTAAGGTACTGTATGTATCTGTTTTTAAAGATTAACAGATTTGAGCTATAACTAAAACGTTGCCACTCTTCTGACTTTTTTTTTTAAGGTGTTGTAATTCAGACCTGGATTCTCAATCGTTACCGTGTGGTGCAGTTGGAAATTATAGATCAGGTGGTGATGTCATATGGAGGCCTGCGTGGAGCTGTAGCTTTTGCTCTGGTGGTTTTGCTAGATGACATACCTGAGAAGAAACTCTTTGTCAGTACAACCATTATTGTGGTGTATTTCACCGTCATCTTCCAGGTAACCATCACCACTGTTGTCTGGACCCTCTGTGGTAATTCGGTTAGAGAATACATAGAAAGCTGTCTATCTTTTGAATGAAACACTACGAACTAAGAACATTCTGCCATCTCAATGATGTGAATTGTCTCACGATATGACTATGTTCAAGTCTGTGTCGAGTGCATGAAAGTGGGGCTAATGAAGATACTATTATAGTTTTGGCATTACAGACTCAATGGGCTGTACTGTATGATTCTATAATCTCATGTTATGACTTTCAAGAAGAGCAGGGGAGCTGTTGTGTTGCCAAATATTTATCCCTCAAACATCATCCCTAAAAACCATGTTGTGGTCTTTACAGGATTGCTGTTTGGGGAGAAGTAGCAGAGTGCAAAACGGTTGCATTTCCTGCATGATAATGCTGATTATACTTCAAAATAAAAATATTGTGACTGTACAGTACTTCGATTATATAAAGTTTTTGAGGGGATTTGTTGCTCGGGTTGTGGATGAGATTGTAGACTTGCTTGCGAGCCGGTGCATTTGATTGCAGACGTTTCGTCACCCTGCTAGGTAATGTCGTCGGTGTGCCTCCGGTGAAGCGTTGGTGTTCTGTCCGATACACTACACTAACACCAACGAGCCACCAAGAGACATGACCAATTCTCACTGGTCTCAATACACACGGGAAAAGGAGGACACAAATTTGACTCGGACATCACATCTGTAAAAGCTGAGCCAAAGAGACATGCTAGGGAATTCCTGGAGGCCTGGCATTCCAACCAGAACTCTGTCAACAAACACGTTGAACTGGATCCGATTATATAAACCACTGAAAAACAGAACTGGAAGTAATGCCAACCACCAAATGGGACAGAACATCGACGTTTCACCGGAGGCGCACCAACGATGTTACCTAGCAGGGTGATGAAACTTCTACATTCAAACACACTGGCTCGGCGAGCAAGGCTACAACCTCCGTACTTTTCTATTCACATTATTTTCACAACTTCAGGGTATCAATTTGTCCTTTGTTAATGCTCGTGAGCCACAGGCTTTCAATTCAGCAGCACAGGCCATGCATTGAATGGCCCGTATTTACGTTTTGGACCGTTTCTTCTCCTTGGCATTAGAAGAAACTGGGGTTGGACCCAATGGTGGAAATTGTTCCCTAATGAAGTTGAGCCCAACCAAATGGCAAAGATTTTGATAGGCCTGAAATAAAGTCTAAACTCTGTGTTTTGTTTTAATATCTGTACCAGAAGTGAAGTTGAGTTGTTTGGGATGTTTTTCAGGGTCTGACAATCAAACCTTTGGTTAAATGGCTGAAAGTAAAGACAAGCCAACAGAAGGAGCCTTTACTCAATGAGAAACTTCATGGAAGAGTAAGTTCATGTCTCTCAGCATCCAATAAATGAGTAAAAGGAGAATCCCTTAAGTGCATCACTGGAGTGCTCGTTTTTGCTGGTGATACTGAAGACACATCAGGTGATATGCCCCCAAACCAACAATGTATCAACAGTTGAGAGTAACAGATGACAGCTTAAGCATTTTAGTCAATGTGGCTAATGTGAAGTTTAGGATGGCTATTGTACAATGACGACCACCACCAGCTCCCTGAATTCCCACCCCACTCCTCACCACCACCACCGACGCCACCACCACCCCCCCCCCAACCCCCCGGAGCACCATCACCTGTTGACTTGTTGGATTCATGTACTTGTTCGTCATGGGTGGGTAGTGGGATTTATTGTGCAACTTTTCGTTGATTTGAGAAGGTGGTGATGTAACTGAATTGATTGCTTGACCATTTCAGAAGGCAATAAAAAGTAAACCATGTTGGAGTGGGAGTCGAGTCACACGAAGGCTAGACTGGGTAAAGGTGACTGATTTCCTCCTGTAATCAACATGTGAGCCAATTGTGTTCTTATGAAATTTCAGCAGCTAAAGAGCACTTGAAGCTAACTTTTCTTTTGTATTTTTTAAAAGAGACTCCATTTGAATTATTGTCTTCATGGTGGGATTTGAACACATCAGACTGAAATGATAGCCCTCACCTCTGGTGCATTTGGTTGTGGGAAGAGCATTTAATCATGTGGGAGAGTGATGGTTGGGGATCCCCAAACCTCTGGCCTGGTAAAGTCCTTTATACGTTGTTTGTAGCCAGCCTGCCCATTCTGCCACAAATGAGGTCCTCACGTAGGAAATTCATGCCCCCTCGAGGGCCCCAGTGTGGTCATGTGGGGAAACGTGGAAATAGAATGCGTTCTCTGTAATCTTTCCTGCAGCTGTGTGCACTGCAAGGTCAGTATGCAGCAGTGACAGTGTAAGCGTAGAAAACCTGCATTATCACTACGTTGTGCTTCTCTTAGGCTTAAATGTTCAATAAGGAATGAGGAAGCAATAATTGTGGACCTTTTATTTGAAGATCAGTCTATATGCAAATTGGTTTTGTGTCCTAAATACACTGCATCTGACTTCTACCATTGCTGCTATCAGGCTGACTATAGAGTCATGAAACCAGTACACATCTCGTGATTTTAGATTTATTTAATATTGTCACATGTACCTAAATACAATGACTAAACTTTCAAAAGTGTCGCCATTCTCTGGAGCCATCTTGGATCTTTGTTTAAATAGTGTGAAATTACAATGATAGTTTTGCTCTTTTGTCCATTTGTAGTATGTCTAATGGTTCAACTCCTACTCCCCTTCCTGGCTGAGATCTCTTTGACTCCCCTTCCTGGTGCTGAATGTCAGCTGGGTCTTGGTTCCAGGCTCCTCCTCCGTCATTGATGCTGAAGCCAGCCAGGAGTCTGGGCTAAAGAGTCGCTGAGCCATACGACAGAGAAACAATGAAGCCTTTATGGTACCAATAATCTGAAAGCTGCATGGCGCTGTCTCCATAGCGCTCATGAGCAGCCCTGGGCTCAGGAGCCAAACACTGCCGATCACTCCCCACATCCCAAAACCCGCCAACAAGCACATCCTGTCATCCCAGCAATTCCCCTTCCAGCCATCGCTCCATCTCTGGCCTGGGCCCGTCTGAAATGTTGATCCTTGGGTCATTGAATTATTGGCAGCAGGCACAGTTTCCTCAGGGCCTCCGCCCGAAGCTTTCATTGCTGGCCAAAAGCAAGTATACAATTCAGTTCAAGCACAACTTGAGACGAGGGAACAAAAGCTGGCCCTGCCAGTGATGCCCGGGTCACCTGAAAAAGCTAAGAAAATAAAAATCTAAACATTGATCAGAATTAATAATTGGAAAATTCAAACAAAACTTTGTCTCTAAACAAAAACCAATGTTATTTCCACTTTGTGAATGGAAATTATTTTAAACAAAGTGTTGTTTTATTGAGGATATTTAAAAGCAATCACTTATACAGTAGTGTTAGAGTATTCTTCTCTCCCTTTTTAAATAACTTGCTTCTTTTTTAGGCTTTTGATCACATTCTTTCTGCAATAGAAGACATCTCTGGTCAAATTGGACACAACTATCTTCGAGACAAGTACGTGACGTTTTTTTTTTTGCAGTAGTTTTTTTTCAATGTTCTGTAAATATTTAGCATGTTATGTTAATACTCCTCATTATTTAGTCAAACAATTTTTATCATTGTTGGGAGATGCACTTGGTGTATCACATTTCATCTGGTTCTTTGCCAGATCTGTGCAAGTACTGAAAGTAAAATCCAAATGCTCCAGCTGACATCCCCTCTGCAACATCACAATGTATGATTTCATAATAATAATGTTCCACAAAATGGTCTTTTTATTTTAGATTTTTTTTTAGTGTTTTTCATAGAACCCAGGCAACATGGAAGCAGGCCATTTGGCCCATTGAGTCCACGCTGACCCTCCTCAGAGCATCTCACACTGCTACCCTTTCTCTGTAACCCTGCATTTTCCATTGCCAATCCACCTAACCTTCACACCCCTGGATACTGTGGGCAATTTAACATGGCCAATCCACCCAACTTGCAGATCTTTGGATGTGGGAGGAAATAGGGGCACCCGAAGGAAACCCACACAGACATGGGGAGAATGTGTGGAGTTTGCACGGTTGTCAGAGGGTGGAATTGAACCTGCGCCCTTTAATGCTGTGAGGCGGCAGTGCTAGCCACTGTGCTGCCCCCACACCCATACCTCTCTTAATTTGGTCAATGCACATAACGTGCATTCTTTTGTGTTCTATTTCAGGTGGTCAAACTTTGATAGAAAGTACCTGAGCAAAATAATGATGAGGAAATCAGCACAAGTTAGTCGGGACAGAATCCTCAGTGTTTTCCGGGAATTGAACTTGAAAGATGCCATCAGCTACGTGTCTGAGGTAATCTCCCCAGTGGGTCCATTAGTTACACAGATGCAGAAAAGATGGGCATTGTATCTGGTCATTGGTGTGCCTGACAGTAAATTAGTCTAAAAGAGGTCATATTTGTAGAAAAATATTAAATCATCTTATATGATTCTTAAACTCTGTTAGAGATGTTCAAAATCTAGAAAAGAATTGATAGTTCCTCATTATTGGCTCTGGAGAAACTGGCAGGAGGATCAGCAACAAGAAAACTGATATTTAAGTATTTGGCAAAAGAAGTGGAGGAGAATGAGAACTTTATTGATGCAATAAATTGTGGTGATCTAATATGCATTACCTGAAAGGGTGGGATGCAGATGGAATGGTAATTTCAGAAGGAAATTGGAAATATGCTTGAGGAAATCATTGGAGGGCGGTGAGTCAGGGTTGGGAGGTAGAGCAGAGAAGTGAATAAAAAGGGAGTAGAACTATTAGGTAATTCTTCCAAGGTGCTGGCACAAACATGAGCAAAATGGATGTCCCAGAGACTTATCCACCTGTGACTTGCTGCAATGTAGCTGTACAGTTGATGGGCTGTCCAGTGCATGTTGAATGCAGAGCAGCTAATGTATTTGATATTGAAAAGCAAGGGTCTTTGCCATCTTTGTGTAATGTTCTTACTGTTTTCCCCCATTCAAACGCTCAAGAAAAAGACCAACCTGCCACTTTGCTGATTGAAGTGGATCAATAATATTCTCAGCATGATGTTCTTTCCTTTTAACATCCTGCTTGCATAACTGAAAGAAAATCTAATTGTATTTTCAGGATGGTTATGTCCCTTCACCCTGCGTATGTTGATCCTGACTCAGCTCTTGTTTTATCTGACTGTTATGACTTTATTTGCTTCTTCCTGGCCCAGTTTGAAGCTTGCTTTCTCACAATGTGGTTGGTAAGCCATCTGTCCAGAAGGATTTTCTCCTACTTTCTTCTTCCAATCTTCTGATAATTTGTCTCAACACTGTGTATTCCTGTAACCCTGCATTTCCTGTTGCCAATCCACCTAACCTGCACTCTATGGGCAATTTAACATGGCCAATCCACCTAACTTGCAAATCTTTGGATGTGGGAGGAAACAACATTGCTTCTGACACTTGCTCCTCACTTTGTAAAACACTAATTACGTGCAGTATTGTATGCTTCCAGCTCTTTGTTTCACTTAAATATATGTTCTGATCATCTTCTGTAGAATTGCTTTAATTTTTTCATATGGTAAGCATTTTGAACTGGTGTGGCCTATTCAAAAAGTAAATTTGTTTTAATTGGGCAGCATAAATACAGTGTGTGATGAACAAACATTTTATTTTAAAATAAAAGTCCATGAATTGTGCAATTAAAGCTCAAGCTCTCAATGTGCGCTGTCGGGTTCTTGCTGTGGCTCAGCATGATGGGACCTGACTGATCACTCTATGAATCAGTCCTGGTCACAGTGGTGATGAAGAATAGAATGATACAGCACAGAAGATGGTATTTCAGCTGTCATTCATACGCTGGATCTGAACCAGTGACAGACGGACAGACACACAGAAATACACAACAGATGGGTGGAGTGAGGGAGGAAGTTAATGTTTCAGGCTCAAGTGTGATTTACTGTATATCTGATAAACTCTCAATACATAAATCATGACTCGTCTTCCGTACCTAAGTACGTTGAACTATTTTTGATTCCTTTGACAGTCGATATCTAACTTTAGTACCTTTCCAATTCCATAGGGAGAACAGAGAGGGTCCTTGACTTTTATTCGCTCAAGTAGTGATGTTAACGTTGATTTCACTGGACCTCGTCACTCTGTTGTAGACTCCTCTGTCTCTGCTGTGCTGTAAGTAATTAACCATGAGAAAATGTTGCCATAAAGAAGAAGATTATTTGACTACCGGGTGTTCACTTGGAGAGTGCTGTTTTATAAAGTACATATTTCTCTGGACTGTTGAAACATACGCCAGATTAAGAATATATCTGTGCAGTTTGAAGTTGATGCAGAGAAGAACTGCATTTTTATCTAACACCTTTTTTCATGACAGTCAGATACCTCAAACAGCTTTACAGCCAATGAAGTTCCCATGATGTGTAAGCATTGTACGAAATGCTAAAGCTGATTTGCTGTTTGTTGGGTATTACTCTATCCAACATGATTTTAAACTATTTAATCTGGTTTACTGATGTTTTGCAGGTTAATGGTTACATTAGTGAGAGAGCTCCCCCTTCAAAAATCGGTGCTAATTGCCTGAGCGCACAGGTTATTGGTTTAATGTATCGTCTAAAGTTGCTGTGTTCAAGCGTGCAATGCTCTCAGGTGGGATGGAAAATCGTGAGCAAGATAAAGTTTACAGTCGGATATGGATAGGTTAAGTGGGAGGGCAAAAACTTGTCAGATGGAAAGCATGAGATTGAGCAATTTGGCAGGGAGAATGAAAGAGCAAAATCTTAATTAAATAGGAAAAAAACTGCAACACGGAGGGATTCGAGGGTCCTTGCACATGAATCACAAAATGCTAGCATCCAGGGTCAGAAAGTCTGGAAAGCAATTAGAATGCTGGTCTTTATTTCAAAACAAAAGGAGATTAAAATGCGAGGTCATACCAGAACTATTCTAGGTACTAGACCATTGGAATGCTATGAACAATTTTGGCCCCCTTATTTAAAAGTTAGATGTTGGCACTGAAAACAGTGTAGAGAAGGCTCACCAGGTTGTTTCTGGGTATGGAGGGATTTTCATGGAGAGATTGAGTAGTTTGGGCTTGTACTCATTGAAAGGTGAAACAGATTCTTAAGGAGCTTGACAGGGTAGATGAGGAGAGATTGTTTCCTCTTGTGGGAGAGTATAGGGACAGAGGGAATAATTTCAAAGAGATTTTCCATTTAAGACACAAATGGGGAGGAATTCCTTCTGAGTTAGTCCAGTCTGTGGAATTCTTTACTGCAAAGGGCCATTGCACTGGCTCATTTAATTCTATTCAAGGCTGCGATAGGCAGATTTTTAATTGATAGTGAATTGAAGGTTTGGGAGGTAAGGCAGGAAATAAGAGTGAAGGATTTATCGGATCAGCTGTGACTTTATTGAATGGCAAGATGACTTGATGGGCCTACATCTGCTCCAATAACTTGTGATCTCATAGTACCATATTAGCAACGTTGGCCTCGATTATTTGCTGGAGCCAGTGGAATGGGACTCAAACATTGACTGGGTGAGATGGCTGCCAATGTTGGGAGGACTGGATTTGTAATGAAATCTATTGCTTTCTCTAGGCGAGAGAGTGCCAGTGAGGTATGTCTGGACATGCAAGCGGTTGAGAACAGAGTGAGGAGTTTAAAGGATCGAGAAGAAATAGTCACTCACCACATGTTGCAGCAACATCTGTACAAACCCAGGAAACGGGTAAGGGAATGTATGCGTCCCATTTAGTGATCTGTTTGCATATCTTCCTTTTCTTTGAAATTGGGAAGTATTCAAAATTCTCAGGTTGTGGTATTACTTTCTACTTTGGTTTAAAACATTTTTTTGCCCACATTTGATCAAAGCCAAAGCAAATAAAGTCTGTTGTCCTGACTTCTAGTTACTTGGTGCTCACGATTTTGTTCCTATCACTGCCTGGTAGATCTGAATAAATATTAATTAGGCTTTTTATGTACTTTTTTATTTGCATGAAATGCACATAAAAGCCTAATTAATCTGGATGTTCCAGAAACCAGTAGGGAGGTCAAGGCCTCATGAACTTTGATATATAAAGCTTTTTCCTTGGTACAATTAGACAAGAGATTCAATTTTGAAATTTTTTTTGGTATTTGGAGTAAGTTTTCTTTAAATTATGTTTATATAATTTAGTGTTTATCTATCGATAGGATGGCTCATTCCAGAGAAGCCTGATGGGTTACCTCAATAAAATAAAAAATATAGGAAGGTTTGAGGGTAGAATCTATGGATGAATGCAAGGAAGAATACAGGTATCAGAACAGTAATTAATTCCACGTATAGGTTAGCTCAAAGTCAGGCTCAAATGAGCAAAGTAAACTTTGCTTTGTGTTATGATGTCTGTCATTTTGAATACAGACTGATTTGCTGGAGATTGAAGAAGAGTCATTGAACTTGAGTGAGCCATTGAGGTGGCTTGAGCCTGCTGTAATTATTTAATTCCCTTTACCTCTTCTTGGTCAATACCCTTATCTAATCAGTAAGGTAAGAGAAGAAGGTGATTCTCTGGTAGTGAAATCCTCTGCCACACTCTTTATTCACTGGTCCAATGGTGTCTTTTTAAAGTACAGGCTTAATTACAGCCGACACAAGCTGGTACGCAGTGAAGGTGAACAACAAGATAAAGAGATCTTCCAGCGCACCATGAAAAAGAGACTGGAAAATTTCAAACCCACCAAGATCGGAAACAATTACAGCTCGAAACTTAGGAACCTGAAGAAAGAAAGAGCAGCTAAAAAGGTATGCTGAAATGGCAGACTTTTTAGTAAATTTTATTTTTTTTTTACAAATATTGCTAATTTTTACATTTTTGTAAGTGATACTTTAAGTTGGAGTCCTGAAAATATATTTTGGTGTTGAGGAGTCAGGGAGAATTTTAAGGGCAGTAATGGGACCGTTTGTCACTTTTTTTTGTTAAATTTATGATCTGGAATTCACCGCCTAAGCAAGGAAAGCTGATTCAAAAATAACTTTCAAAGGGCAATGGGGCAATTTAAAAAGTAAGCAAATTTATTAGAAAAAAAAACTAAAGAAAAAGTGTTATTGCTGACACAGATTAAGAGACACAGGTAATGTTGCAGGAGCCTAGGTTCAAATCCCGCTATGGCACACGGTGGAATTTGAATTCAAGAAATAGAAAGAAAGATCTGGAAATAAGAGTCTAATGATGACCATTGTCGATTGTCAGGAAAACCCATTGGCTCGCTAATATTCTTCAGGGAAAGAAACTGCCTTCCTTACTTGGTCTGGACTTCACATGTGATACCTCACCTACAGTAATGTTGTTGACTCTAAACTGCACTTTGGGCAGTTAGGAAGGGACAATAAGTGCTGGCCTAGCCAGAGATGCCCTTTATCCTATGAATGAATTAAAAAACAAAGCAAGAAAATGATAGGATTAACCTGGAAAGAGCAGAGAAGTGAATCCATTTGGAGATACTGTTTTCTTTCTAAACAGCTAGCACAGGAATGATGGGCCAATTGGTCATTTCTTTTATGCTGTAAAATTCTTATGGGTTCTATGAATCACAGATGCATGACTATGGTATTTATGACCACTTAGATTTTTCTCTTGTCTCGTGTTGTTTGACTGGACACTTTTTTTTTTTTCTCCGAGCGTACACCATGCATTCAAATTCCTGAGATGTAGGCCCCCAATATTTACGGGAACATGGGGAAGGTGGGAATGTGGTGAGACATGGGAGGTGTCTTTTGTGAAATTTAGTCAGATGTTATGATTATTTTTCCTTCCAGTTCCAGATCGACAGCTGGTCAAATTGACGAACAGGCTGGTTACTGAGCAGAGAAAACTGTAGCAAAGAGCACTTGCACATGTTCCCTGTCGATTGTTAAAGCAGAAAAATGTTGGATTAGAAGGGAATTTGGTTAGAATTGTGAATGAGAATGATTAAGGTGGGGAGGTTGGCACTATAGGCTTCCTAGAGAGGAACTGGACGCACGTACTCCACCTGACCCACAAGGAGTGCTATAAATGGTACCCAGTATCTTAAGCCAGCAGTTCTTCTTGTTTTACTACTGGATTTCCTTCACTGTTGGGTGCTGTGCACAGCAACAGTTAAACCTGATTCAGACCACCTCTTGCTATCAGAGCCTGATTCAGTGTCTGTTGATGAAGTATTCGCCTTCCTTCTCCAGTAAACTGACATGCAACAAAAATGGTGACAGTCCAATTGGGGTGTTTGTTCTTCTTTCATTCTTTTGTCTTTCAGCCTTGACCTTCTGTGGGTCATTGGTGTGAGGGCCTTTTGAGAAAAGTGGCCATCAGACGCTTGTCCCCCTCCCACAGTGCTGAAGCTATTTTTGCCAAGATCACAAGTGACATCTTATTTGGTTGTGGAGATTGGAAGATATTTGTCTCCTCCTTCGATGTGGTCTGTGGAAAGGTTGCCAACACGATCCTCCTACTTTTGACTGGAAGAGTGGAGCTGTGCTCACTTGGTTCCATTCCTATCTATCTCATCACAAGTAGAGAGAGGCCTGCAGTAGACTTTTTGCTGTCCATTCCTGCATATGTCTATATACTTGGCTCCCTCCAACTTCTTCTTCTCCCATGATGCCCCCTAGCCCCGTCATCCAAATGCAGGGTCCCGTTCCGTGAGCGTGCTTGCAGCACCCAATTGTGTCTCCTCATCCCCTCTCTCCACTATATTACCATCCCTAATTTATCAGACTGCTCGTCTGACATTGCTGTCGGATGAGCAGCAGTTTTCTTCCCTGTGCGGAAAACCACCGGCACAAACCCAGCTCCCTAGCCATTTTCTCCATCTGTCTTCCCAGCAAATCTTTTTCCTGTTTTGTTAATTTGGTATCATGTTTGCTGAGTTTAGTTTCCAATCTCAAGCAGGCCACTGTTGCAAGCACCTATTTTCAGTCCACTTTTGCAGCATTGTCTGAATTTGGCTGCCACCCTCCCCTTCCCGACTGCATGTATACCTTGCCTTTAAGAGAGTTTGTCTGTTAAGGATTCCATCTCCTGTGTATACACAATGTTGCAACTTTGCTTGCCAGTTATTCCGCAAACTGTGCGCACACATCTGTTGGTTTGCTGTCATGCCTGTTTCCTAACTTTGTAATGCGTTTTAATTTTTTAATTAAACTGTTGCACCGAGTTGATCAATCCCTGACAAGTGATTGAATATTAGACCACAAACCCCCATCTCTGTCTCAGCTCATCTGTGGCTGAAACCAGCAGCCAAACCTTTTTCTTGTGTCCAAACTTGGCATTCCTCATTGGCCTCCCACCCCTTTTAAACGGTTTAAGATTTCAGCTCATCCAAAATTTCTGCAGGTTTCCAAACTGTCACCCATATCCTGTATATTCTTCCTTCCTCAGCACTCCACTCAACCAAAAGTTGAGCAGCACCTCGATTTTGAAATTTTTATCCTTATTTTTGAATCCCTAACGTCGTCCTGGTTCTCTGGCATAGCCCTGATTGTAATTGTTTTCTCCAAAGGTGGCTAAGCCTTCAGCTGGCTTTGGTGTTTAATCTCCGAGTGCCTTTATAGGATGCAAGACAAATCTATACCTGCCTCTTTTGGTCACATTTTCCATCACCTGCCCTAAAAAGTGTTTGTCTGAATCACATTTTCACAATGATTATAGAGATCATTTTATCTCCACAGTCTTCTGTGAATAAAAATGATTTACAAGGGTATGGGGGGAAGAAAGCAAGAGATTAACAGTAGGCTGTAAAACGCACTTGAAGAGCCAGTGTGGAATGATGGGCCAAATGGCCGCCTCCTGTGCTATAACACTTCTGTGATCTGCCTCCTTTTTCATGAGGAGGGAATAAAAGCAATTGATTGCCTTTTGCATTTAAGTGATAAGGTTAGCTATAACTTAAGTTATAGTTCCTGTGGTTGCTTTTTCAAATGAACAATGAAGAATTGCTAAAACTTGCCAAAATAAAGTTATTTTTCCCTTAATCTGTACTTTGGCTGTCCTGATTTTCTTTCAGAAACACAGTGATGCAATGTCAAATGGAAAGCTTCCGACACATTCTGTTTCTTTCCACGTTAATAAAGGTAATTTCAAACATTTACTTCCTTTCTCGTTTTAAGCTCGCTTTGTGCCCCCCTTCCCAACCCCTCTGCTGACTACTTGGATCGCATTTGCAAAGGTGGCTGGTCATGTTAGATTCCTTGGCCAACTTGTCACTCTTAAGGGAATTTAGAGAGAGTGGGTCCTTGGAGGCTGATATGGCCTTGGAAAAGATGGTTCATCTGAATAGCTGTGGTTTTGCTTGCAATGGAGGTATTGCTAAGTGCAATCAATAAAAGGAACCCTGTCTATTTTTCCCATTTTCACCTCCATCTCCCCCCACCTCTGCTCATCTTCCTGAGGTTCTATGCTTATTCATTACAATTCCTACTGTAAGCACAACAGACCCAGTTATCATTGACAAGTTACCACAACAGGAGGATGTCTGGCTGATTCAGTTCTAGTACTCATTACTTAAACTCGTGAAGTCTTTTCACTGTTGACCACAAATCCTCCTGAGGTGTTGATTTAGGAACAAGAGTACGTGATACAGCCCTTCAATCCTGACCTGCTGTTCGATGAGATCATGACTGATCTGTGGCCTAACTCCATAAACCTGCCTTTTGTCTTTGAACTTGCCTGAAATCCCGCAGTTACAGTCCTTCCAAGCTGAAACCCCTGGGAAACAAATGCCTTGGGCTCCTATTCTTTAACAAATCTCCAGGTGTTTTTAGGGCACTAAATTGATCACCAGACCCTGGGCTAAGTATTGGAAGGTTTCGTCAAGGTACTGGCTGAGTGAAGGAAAATTATTCCACTGGTGTGAACTTGAGAATGGAATGATAGTCTCTCTACTCCGGTAGATCACCACCATGTAAAATTTGTAAGCATTCAAGCATATGATGAACAAACCCCAACTTTTTGCTGACCGTCCGTCTCCTCACTGACAATTCCTGTTTCCACATGGCCGTTCTGACTTTTAATTGATCAAAGTGAGGAAGAAAATAATTAACCTCTATTTACCAGTTGAGCACCACGTTCTGTTATAGTAGCTTGGTTGATTCTGTGCAAACCTTTATTTTAGTTGTGAGCTTTTATGAAAAGTTAAAAGAAACATTTCTATTATACCATAAGTCTGGATTTAAATCAATGATACTTGCCAAAAGGTAACATTGATACTCTCTGCATTACATTCATCTGTTGCTGTATTTAAGAGATGTTTCCTTTCTATTTATCCAGACTCTGTCGAGGATCGCTATGAGCCATTAGATGGAGGAATTAGTTTCCTCATTACACCTGCCAGCAGTGAACAGGATGAAGCAAGAGCTGGTAAGATGTCTTGCTGATCCATTGGTGACTGTTTGTTTGTTTGTTTCTCTGGATGTTTCTATTAAATATATGGAAATCTAAAAGTAAGATTCAGAAACTCTAGTTGGTATGAGCAGCCTCCTAGAGAGGGTTTTGCATCTTCAAATTGGGTCCTTTTATTAGAGCTGAAACACTCTTGCATCAGCATTATATTTATATTACAAAATGCCAATATGAAGAGCTTTCAAATAGGCCCTGGGTTGAAACTCTGATCTGGACTAAGCTGTCTAATCTTGGAGCCAGTGTATTGGCATTCCAGCAACCTCCAACATTATTTTGTAAGGGAGGAGAAAGCGCCAGGATTCCCAGTTCTGGTTACTACTTGAAGAATATCTTGTCAAAGGTAGATGTTGATTTAGGACAAGACTGGTCTCTGATGCAATGTTTCTGTTGATTTGATTTGACTGATCTTGGGTTTTTGATAAAACAAACAGAATAGAGCAGAAAATGCTGCCATTGTTCAGCAGGTTAGGCAGCATCTACAAAGAAAAAGATGCTGCCCTAATTTGCTGGTACAAAGATTTGAGCCTTTTTGTTTTAAAAGCCTCCCTTGACATCTTAGATGTTGCATATATATATACTCTGGAGTTACCTTGATGTATTCTAACAGTTACACCATGGGCTGCTTCATAGTACGGTTCCATAACTCTGCAGTCAGTATAAATGTTGAACAATGATGTTTTGAACATCCTTTGTGCACCTAGAAATTCTGGATTGTTTTGTATAACCTAACGATGGCTCCTTTCGAAGAGAAATGGGGTAGACTCAAAATCCTACTTTTATTACAGCTGCACTATCATTGTTTGTTAATGTGATGATTGGAACTAGGAGGATTGCGTTGACTGAGATCCTTGATTGACCCAAGTTAATGTCTCCAATTAGGAAGCCCTGTCTGACCAATATAGACAGGGGAGAAAATAGAGAAGAAAAATATAAACAGGGGATTTAGAATCTCTTCAGTTTAGGGAACTGACTCCGAGCTGGCTGACCACAGACAGTGTACTGTGCACAAGTAAAGGCTGACTTGGATACCAGCCTCTGTGCAGTTATTTCAGTTATTGATGTAAGCTCGGGTATTTTTCATGCACTTATCTGTTTGTGAACCTTTCAGTAATTTATTGCAACTAATTCTTGTTTTGTAATATTAAATCGTTCCTGCAGGGATCGATAACCCAAGTTTTTCCACTGAGGAAAATAATTCTACTTTCCAAATGACACCACCGTGGATGTCCAATGAAGAAGCAGTAATTCCATCCCAGAGGGCACGTTTACAGCTTCCAAGGAGTCCCACCAATTTCCGACGCCTCACGCCTTTGCAACTCAGCAATCGATCCATTGATTCGTTTTTGCTAGCGGACATCCCAGATGAGCATCCATTGGCTTTCCTGCCCGGATCATCAATGTAATGATATCATCCACTTTATTCTTTTTTTTGCTGTCTGAACAAAACAAACCTTTTCTCCTCCAAAACTGCCTAAAAGTGGGTTCCCATCAACCGTTTTGAGAAATCAAGAATTTTGAGGTTTTGTTTCCACGGAATTAAAAACAAACTTACCTTGCGTGAAGCAAAAAAAAAAGTAGCTGCCAATGATTTCAGAAAGGAAGGTTGAGCACGATCAACCTGGCTGTCTGTTGAAGTGGTGACGAGAGGAGAAACAGTAAATATAGTGCTAATAAGCTTTGGCAAAGTATGGGTTGCAGACACTATTGGAGAAGATTATGGCATATTGAAAATAGGGGAAAGATAGTCTCTCGTTCAAATTTGCTATCTGAAATGGAGGAAAAGACAATCTTTCAAATGTATTTGGAAGTGGGCAGAGGTGTTCCATTTGGCTCTGTTCTGGAAGATTCTATTCACTGTAAATATGTGTGATTTGGATAAAGGCTGGAAGAAATGTGTCAAAATAGGAGGCTTAGTAAATTAGTTCAGAGAAATTGAAGCTATAGGAGTCTAAGTAGAATAAGCTTCAAAAATTTGGTATGTTGACTTCAGTAAGAATAAATGTGCAGCACGGCTGTTTGTTTTACACTGTACATGGGGGTTGAAATATTTTGAAGTAATCTTTCTTCAGAGACACTGGCAGACCTGCTGAATTTCTCCAGTGCTTGCTGTTTTTAAGATCCACTCAAAGTATTGTTGTTATACTAAGACAATACTGGCTTTCATGATGGGAGGTATAGAATATAAAACTGGAAATGTACTAGTGAAGAAAAATATACCTTAGTAAAGTCATAGTTGGAGGATTGTTTGCATAATTTAGCTCCATGTTATTGCAGAATTTTTATGGAGGGTTCAAAAGGATTTGCTTGAGTACTGACTGGCATGATAAGGTACAAATATGAAGAAAAGGTTTAAAAAATGAATATTAATTTTATTAAAGCAGTGGATCATGTCATGTCATATATGCTATACCTCAGGGTAGGTCCTTTGCTGGTTTAACCTGCTGATGGTTTATCCTAAGTTTTGGAATCGGGGTAGGAAGAAGCTGGTTGTGAATCACTAGCTCTGGTCTGTTTCCTACTATCTCTTTCTTTTACTCTGACCAGTTCCCTGTGACGTTGAGTACACGAACGATTGTGATGATCGAGTATGAACTATTTTCGGAAAAGGTTCCTTTGTGTTCTGGAGTATCAGCAACAGGTGAATCTAACTGTTTCATGCTGCTATTTAGCAGCAGCAGCGTGGATGGTACAGATTAGAATGCTGCTTGCTGTCAAGCCAAAAAGCCATCCTGCCTCGGTCTGAAATGAGTATGGTTTATGAATTTCAGTGCCAATGTAATACCAAGTATATAGGCAAGACATACCGAAGATTGGTTGATCATGTTACACAACATATCCCTTTACCAGCTCACAACAAGCAACATACTGACTGTACCCAGCTGCCTGTGTTTGCAAACTCAAGTGGCCAACATTAGATTTGATGTTGTGATTGGAGAATTAGGCTAAATAATCCTGTGTGTAAAATATATACTGACGACCAATTCGGGATTGTCAGCTGGATTTGCAATGTGGTGCGTTTGTGTGTACTGGGAGCTATGTACATTAACGCACATTTCTGTCTGTAAAGAATAGAGTACTAACAACACCCATGTTTCAACTTGACAAAATAGGTGACAGCCACTCGCTGATTCATTTCTCTGGGAAATGCCTTGACCAGTCAGTTAAAATGTCTGGTTTAAAAATTAAAGCTTAACTGTTAACTGTCTATTGTCATTAATTGGTGCATTCTCAATGACCGCACATCCGAACCAATTGACCAACCAACTGTGTTTGCATACAGTATAAATGTCACTTTTTCTGTTTATTTCTTGTGAATTGTCCTGATAAGGGCAAGATGAAAAGTTTCATCCTAATCTATCTCTATTCCAGCAATTCTCTGGTTCTGTACTACCAAACAACTATTACTGACTATTATTTTTGAGCCATTTGCAGCAGTTTGATTGGCAGTTTTTGTCAGTGGTTAACTGGCCTGAATCTACAGAACAGTGTTGTGAATACAGCTTCACTTTTATTTTTCTCGTTATGTTGATGTTCATGTGCTGCTTTTATTCTTTCACCTAACTTTCTCATTTCTCCCTCATTCAGATTTTTCTGACAACAGTTTGTGGTTGTGTTTGAGCATGTTTTTAAATTTTAATTTTGGGCAGTGATAAACGGGGTATTAATGGAACACAGGGGATGCCTTCCAGATTCTTATGCAGTGCTGTAATGCACAGTTTTGTGTTTTACATTTTCCCATCCACTATCCAAATACCAGAAGTGACTAACACATCACCAGTTGATATTCATCCATGTGGTGCTGAGAGTAGGCATATGGATTTGAATCCAGCTTGTGATAGAACAGAGTCCTGAACCTTCTCCAGTGCCAGTCCCTCCTTAGAGTCAAGGTTTTGACAGCTTAAGCTCATTTCACCCAATGGGAACTATTGAATAAAATGCTCATATATTTTGACACCAATTGCTAATCTCCTTTTGTATCTATAATACAGGATGGTTTAGGAAATGGACATATTGTACTGCTATAGTAGTAGATTTCAGTGTTTGGACTGATGGCAGTTATGGACGAGGGGTTGCACTGTGCATCTGGTGCATGCAATGACTGTGTAAAATATGTAATACTGGTGCTGGCTACCTGAAATTGAACTAAAGGGGAACCCTCTAACTAGCGTAGATGTTCCTGCACACAGTCATCAGTGCACATAATCTCACCATCTCTCTCTTTTTTTGGGTCATGGGAATTGCATCTTCCAGCTTTTTCTAGCATCACCACCTCTCCTATCTTGAGTCTCTGCACTGAGATTTGTTAAAATCTCAGGTTGAATGTCCTGTTTGTTCACCTTGGTTACGATTTGCTGAAATTCCTATGAATGGATTTTGTTTTCTACCTCTTGTGTTATCGTTTGACTCCTTTTATGTTTAATTGAAAAAAAAACTCCCCTGCTCTCTCTCTTGTGGCTTTTTTCCTATTTGTTCCCTCTTTAGGCTGAATGTTGCAGCAATAATGTTACTCTTGGTTAAAAAATTTACAAGGCAGTGATGCAGTTACAGATCTAACATTTTTAAAACCCACGCTTGAACAAAACTAAAATATGTGAAGTTACTTTTAATTCCACCTTATAAATTTTAATCCTGACACATGTGATTTATTGCTGCTTTTAAGTTTCAGTTAAGTTTATTTTTAAGTTTATTTCAATCTCTTAGATTGCTGCTGATGATCATCCATACTTCTGATCAAACTAAATTACTAACCAGAAGCTCAGAATAAAGGTTTTTATTTTTGCTGTCTGATAACTGGGTCACGCGAGAACACTGCTCCAATATTTAAATCTCTTCTCTCTATTGTATAATGTTAATGGAAAATGGAATATTTTTGTCAAGTGAGCTGAGTTTCTATTACAGAATACGATTAATGTGGTGCAGTCTTGTGAATGTACATATGAGTGCACAAATTATGAGCAGAAGTAGGCCACTTGGCCCTATGAGTTTGCTACACCACATTGAATATAATTGTGGCTGATCTGATTACTCCATGAATATGGTGCCACCTTGTGAATGTCCTATAGGTTGTGCATTGACTGAGGCATCCTGAGTCTCTGGTTAAAACCTCTTGCCTCAGGTAATGGCCATTTGGCCTGTAAATTCAAATCTTTGTTGTGTTACTTTAATATTTTACCTGTTCTTGAGGGGAAAAGAATGCCATCGGTGACAATAACTGTTTGCAATTTATCCAATAAAAATAAATAAACTAAATTATCTGAAAGAGCATTCTTAAGGAATTGGACAGTAGAAAGTTTCTCTCTCACATGTGAATGTTTTCTATCTTTGCTAAGTTACTCCTTTAATGTTGTATTGCTATTTGTGTCAAGACTGAGGTATGACTTTGAACAGAACAATATAATGCTAAGTCTTTAAGCAACTAATTGTTGCATCTTGTGCTCATAGACTGGCTGGCTTTCTGGTTTTGCAGGTAACTGTAAATCAATCTGAAGTTGTCCTCCATTGCTGAGCCCTTCCATGTCGGATAAGAAGTAACTTCCGAAAAAGATGGCTAAATATGCGAAGGTGATCTTTGCTCTGAGAAACCCTCTTGGATTTTCCGATCTTATCTCCAGGCAGCATGTTATCAAGAGCTATTCTTTACTGAAAAATGTAGATTCCCGAATCCATTCAAGGACAACAGCCACATTGAAAGCCAGCTCTATTGAAATTATTTTCAAAGCAACTATTGATATTTTCAGCAAAGCCTAATGAAGACCATCTACTTGGCTCAGCATCAAAGAACTTGCTGTGAATGTGCAACAGGCTGAGATGCTGAAAGGAACTGAGGGTGGAAGAACAGAAACCATTGGTGAAAGAGGAAACTTAATGGGTGCAGCCTTCGCAATCTTTTCACTGGTACAAGCTTTTTGCATTATCCAGCTCTCTGGAACTTGGGTCTCTCCCAGTCTTTTGTCTCATTTTCTTAGAACGAGAAGGAACATAGTTTTAAGCACATTTGTGCTCTGCTTCACCAGCAATAGAATTGGTGAGCTGGACATCATCTGATTATGTGGCACATTGCCAGAAAACATGTTTCTTGTACAGGCACTGAAATGGACTGCTGCGATCTCTTAGATTTTAGAGGGAGAATTGGTGTAGCTCTGCTAAGCATTTTAAATGGGATATAAATAATACCTATGGTTCTCTATGCATGTACAGGAATCAACCGGGATAGAGGAGGAAATCTTGTTTCAATCATAAAAATGCAGGTTTTAATGTTTGTGGGAAATTGGCTGATATGGACTTTTCCTTCTCCAATTTATATTTTTAGATATTTTGTTCAGTAAGTTTTTTTTGTTACAGTTCATATTGTCATACCTGTTTATTTTTTTTAATAAAAGAAAGAAATGGGTACACAATAGTCATTGATGTGCTGTAAAATAATGAGGTGTGAAGGTTACCTGACCCAGTGGGCCTCCTGGGAACTGGAGGTCAAAAATGCTTAAATGTTTCCGAAGCACAGATCATATTGTCAGACAAATACTTGTAAATCTGACATCCTGTGCTGGAGATTAAGCTTTAATATTAACATTGTTGGTGTCAGAGTATGTGCAAAAAGCATGAGACACTGTCAGAAGATGCATATTTTCATTATGAGGCTACAGCTGACCTTTTTTTTTTCCTGACTTAGCCTTCACAAAGTCCAACAGGAGTCACATTGGTAGAATATAGGTTAAGAAGGAGTCTTTTTAATGCAATCAGGGTTTGAATGCTTTGTCTAGACTGGATGAGCATTTAAGTATGCCTTTTGCAATACATAAGGGCATATTCTTGTGGACGTGCAATAGATCATGTCGAGTACTGAGTACTCCATTACCCCACCCCCCTATTTATTCCCACACTTCATTAGGAACCCTAATCTTTTTCTGAGTGCGGGTGTTCCGAAATTAAACAAGTGAGTTCTTGATACCTGACGTGGGGCAGGGTTGTGGCTTTTCTCCCTAAAACATTGAGAGAAAGAGCCATCCAAGCTAAGACTGGCTACAGCTATTTGTCTTCCAAATGTCATTTTCGAATCTGCCTTGATTAGCCTACACTCAGGAAAAACCAATTCCCATTCTAGGATTGAGAATGAACATTATTTATCACAGTGAGGCTCTGATTAGTGCATCAAGTGATTTAAATTGATCAAACTGGGAACAAGTGACAAAAGCCGCCAACATTATTTAGGGTCATATCAAGGGTCAACGCACTGCTGCTAACTTAAGCAGCAGGGAGAGAGAAAAGGACTTGCTGATTTGTTGGTCAGTGAATGCCATTTACCTTCTAAATTTCCATTTGCCTCCCCCTTCTCCATTCCCTTCACTCTTCCAAATCGCCTTAGATCTTCAGTAAATAATGCAAGCTATACGGTTGTAGATTTAATACTTTACAAAAAGACAAAAGCAATTACTTCCTTTTTAGACATCGACCTAAGTTTCTTTGCTTTCATTCATAACAGCATCACAATGCAGCAGAATGCTGATCTAAGAAATTCTGCTTTTTAGGTTATTGATATTGAGATTCAAGTTGTGAATTATCCTTTTCTCAATCTCCTATGAAGTATAATATTGATTCCTGGCCTCGACCATATCTACCGTATAACCAGGCACTAAGAGTTCCCTAAGGTGCATTTTTGTATGCCAGTTGTTTTACTTTTTTTGCATGTTTTCATTTCAACCTTCTGTCCATTTGTTGAACAATAGATTGTTATCTGGATAAAGGGTGCTTCTCTGAACCTCAATATTTTTAAACCCTATGAGTAACAAGTTTCAACAGGCTGAATTATTAGATGCTGATTTATTGGGCGGGTATAATTATTGGCTACAATGAGGGTTTTGCAGGGTACACTAATCTTGTTTCTTACCCTGTTTTCTTCTGGCAGCCAATCAAGTGTTGTATCTGATACAAATTTGACATTATCATGTCTCTAGTCTGCTAATGTGAACTGTACACGATATCATCTAAGTCTGTTTAATGTCTTCCACATGTTTTATTTACTAATTTTTAATATGTATCATGTTCAAAGATTTACTCTTATGTCGGAGTTAAAAAATCTATTTAAAAATAAAATTTTAAAAGGAAATGGTGCATCTTTTTAAACAAATAAAATTGCAAGTGGTTCCTCAGGGGTATATGAACTTTTCTGTCTGTCTCCGTCTCACGCTCTCGCTCTCTGAATGAATGTCCTATCCGCCTTTTCCTTTGGCTGTGCAAATGTTTCTGGCACTTTGATTTGCAAAGAGCAGGGTAGTTATCTTGGGCAACATTCACCTTTTCACCAAAACACATGAACTGGTTCTTTGTCATTAGTTGTGAAATATTGCTTACAACTAAAGCCTCCATAACTATGGTTACATTTAAAGACAATATTTCACTACCAAGCGAGTTGGAATGTCCTGAGGATGTGAACAATGTTGTATAGCTGTGAAACTTGGCTGGAACAGCATTTTTTCCGATCCACATCATTTTAGTAGAATTGACCTTCTACCCAGCTAGAAATTTTTTGCTCCTTGTCGGTCTGTCTTATTCTTTAATTCCTTGAAATTTAATTGAATTGTGATCACAATCTGTAAAATACTCTCTCACTTGCACTGTTCTAACTTGCCTAAGTTAATTCCTGAAAACAAAGTCTCTAAGTTTGTCTTCCATTTGTGGTATATTCTGACTTAAAAACCTCCTGAATGCAGTATTGCATACTTTTTTAAAACTGAATTTATTCCAGTTAATATTTAATTGAAATCTGCAAGAATTGCAACCCTATTACCTCTGCACTTCTCGGTAATTTGCCTACATCTTTTCTCTTGTGTTATTCTGTCTGTTTGAAGTTGGTACATTGAACACTCCCAGAAGTGTGACTGGCCCCATTTTGTTTTGGTTCCTCAATTCAACTCTTCTGGAATTTTCTAATCAACCTATTCAGAGATGTGGTAACATACCTCTGGAGCAGTTTGAACTTAAACCTGGGACTCCTGGCTCAGTAGTAGGGACAGCACCACTGTGCCTCAAGAGCCCCAATCTGTTTAATCCTTTTTGAACAAAAGCAACGTGCTGCATTTGTTGAAAATACATCTGGCAGTATCTGTGGGGAGAGAGAAACATGTTAACATTTAGAGTCATAGAGATGGCCAGCTTGGCCATGTCGGTCAAATATCCTAAATTAATCTAGTTCTGTTTGCCAGCATTTGGTCCATATCCCGCTAAACCCTTCCTATTCATGTACCCATCCAGATGCCTTTCAAATGTTGTACTTGTACCAGCCTCCACCGTTTCCTCTGGCAGCTCGTTCCATACACACACCATCCTCCGTGTGAAAAAGTTGCCCTTTAAATCCCTTTTTAAACTTTTCCCCTCTCTCCACTCCCCCATCTTCTTTTCCCTTAAACCTATGCCCTCTAGTTTTGGACTCCCCTACCCTGGGGGAAAAGACCTCGTCTATTCACCTTATCCATGCCCCTCATGAGTTTATAAATTTCTAGAAGGTCATCTCTTTGCCTCTGACACTGTGGGGAAAATAGTCCCAGCCCATCCAGCCTTGCTGTATAGCTCAAACACTCCAACCCTGGTGACAGCCTTGTAAATATTTTCTGAATCCTTTCAAGTTTCACAACATCTTCCCATGGCAGAGAGTGAGAAATACACTTTAGTTTAAATTTCTCTCACAGAGCAGGAATTTAGCATGTGGAATGTGTGATGCTATGGCTGGGAATTGCTCAGCCCTGAGGAAAATGCCTAGAAAGCAGGTGTGCTGGTAAACTGCAGTTGATTGAAGGGGAATGGGCAGCTAATTTGTATTATCAATGTCCTGGGCCATTAACGTTTTGTTAGCATAATGAGGGATCAAGCTGTTTGGAGGTGGTTTCCCAGTGGGTGGGGAGAGGTGCAGGCCACAAGGAACAAAGAGGAGCTGTTTGCTGGTGAATGGATTCCTACCTTCCCAACAATATCTGCAGATCATTTGTCTTTTGTAAGGCCCCACGTGATTCTTTTTACTTGCTTAAGACCCAAGGTAAGCAGCCTGCTTCAACAGTGACTATAATCCACTGATTCTTTTCCCCCCCATGGATGTGGGATTTGCTGGCAAGACCGGCATTTTGTTGCCCATCCCTACTAGCCCTTGAACTGATTTGGCTTGCTAGGCAACCTAGGCAATTTCCAGGAGCAGTTGAGTCAACCATTTTGGAAATTCCTTTGTCTAAAGAACACTTGTGAACCAGATGGGTTTTTTATAACAACAATCTATCATAATTTCATGGTCACCATCACCGGCACATTCTAGAGTTCATGAATTTAAATTTAATTTCTACCAATTGCTGTGTTGAAATTTGAATCCAGATCACTAGCCTGGCCTCTAGACTTGTAGACCAACGACATTACCGCTACGTTACCAGGAGTTTCAGAGAACTTGCACTGCTGAGATCTGAGGGACCAGCCTATAATTGCGTTGCAGCATGCAAGACCTATCCATTGTTCTCAGAATTGTTTCCGGTTCTCAGGGAAGGTCACCGGATCTGAAACGTTAACTCTGATTTTTCTCTTCTCCGATGTTGCGAGACATGCTGAGCATTTCCAGCAACTTCTGTTTTTGATCCTGATTTACAGCATCTGCAGTTCTTTGGTTTTTACTATCCATTGTCTTGCTCTTCTCCCACACAAGCCCCCTCATTGCTTCCCTATTGATTCTTGTTTGTCATCTCCTAATTTAATCTTTAGGAAGCCATCCCTTCTGCCTGTGCATGCCAGCCATGTGAAAAGTACTCTAATGTTGGAACTTTTGATGACACTTCCACCCTAAATTCCAATTGTTCAATTGGTCTAAACCTTTGTCCCCTACTTACCATATTTCCCTAACATGCTGTATCCGAAATAGGAATCTTAGTCTTGTCATTTATATAAAGCCGATTGGAGAGGCTTGACTCTGTTTTTAGAGCATTGCATTTTGACCGCTCTGCTCCTGTTGAGCTTCTGAGAATGTGTTTTCAATTTCCTGGTGATGTCATTCACACCTTTTGTACACATTTATGGAACAACTTCTGGCTGAATTCCTTGAAAGCGTCATGAGTTAATAATTATCTCTGGAATTTGTTTTTATTCTGTCTTAATCGTTCAGCCTTTTGGATTGAATCCATGCTTAGTGCATCATTGCCCAGTAAGTTGATTTCTCATCCTGCTTTATGTCGCTGGTGGAATTGATATGTGCCCCGTTCCCTGCGTTAAGCATCTTGGCTCCCACCAGACTAAATTACCACAGTAACTAAACGTGTCACTTGCTGGGATTTTTAATTTTATAAATGACTAACGTTAAGGGCTATGGGTGGCATCAGGGTGAATCTTGATCATTGTGTTTGAAAGACATCCAGCTCTTGTTGGTACTGATGTACAAGAGAATTTGAGATAATAAGGTGTAGAACTGGATGAACACAGCAGGCCAAGCAGCATCATAGGATCAGGAAGGCTGACGTTTCAGGCCTAGACCCTTCATCGGAAGGGAATTTACTCACTCAGGAAAGGGCATCATTGTAGATAAAAAATGTTTCGTTCTACCGATCCTATCAATTGAATGGAAGTGGTTTTGCAGCATGCATATGGTTCATATTTTTAAAAAACCTATTTGTGTAAATATTTGTTCATGAGATGTGGGCATCATTGGCTAGGCCAACATTTATTGCCCAGAGGGCAGCTAAGAGTCAACCACATTGTTGTGGATCTGTAATCAATTGTAGGCAAGACCAGGTAAGGACAGTCATTTCCTTCCCTAAAAGATTGGTTTTGTTTTCTGACAATCATCAATGGTTTCATGGTCACCATTAGATTCTTATTTCCAGGTTTTTATTGAATTCAAACTTTGCAATCTGACATGGCGGGATTCAAACACAGGTCTCCAGTGTATTACCTGGGCCTCTAGCTTATTGGTCTAATGATAATACCGTAGGCCAACGCCTCTCCGGTGAATGTGTTCATGGGGAGAGGTGGTATTTTGGTGAATTTTTTTGTCTCTCTTTTTGACATTTTCTCCCCCACAGCACCCCCTCCCCACAAACAAATTAGGCAGAAAAATGCAAGACCAAAATTGATAGCCATGTCTAATAAAAATCCATTTGAGTTAAGGAACTAAAACTGGTAAATTCAATAAAGATACAGACCAGTAATAATTGGAGTTAATAGCAGGATATTTCCTGGGTCCAATGGCTACCTCTGACCCTGTGCATATACTCTCTCTTTATTTTGAGATTCTGAAAGCAACCCAATCTTAATCTTTTTGTCTTTACAATGCAGCTTATTTAAAAATGTTGTAGTTTATTGCAACTTTCACATTGTATAGCAATGATGTTTGCAAATGGAGTTTAATCCTGGTCAATGTGAGGTGGTGTAATTTGGAAGATCTAATGCAGGAGGAAAGTATACAGTAACTGGCAAAATCTTTAGTAGCATCGATATACAGAGTGATCCAGGTGTACAGTCCACACTTTCCTGAAAGTTGTAATGCAAGTGGATAAGGTGGCCAAGAAAACATTTGGCATGCCTGCCTTCATTGGTCAGAGCATAGATTGTAAAAATTAGCAAATGATACAGCTGTACAGATATTCAGTTAGGCCACACTGCCAGTAGAATATGCAGGCTTTAGAGAGGGTACAGGAATAGTTTACCAGGATGTTGCCCGTTTTGGAGGGCATTAGCTATGAGGAGTGATTGGACAAGCTTGGTTTATTTTCACTTGAATGTCGAAGGATGAGGGGTGACCTGATAGAAGTTTGCAAAGTTGAGAGGAATGGATAGCCATTCTTCTTCCCAAGGATGAAATGTTAATTACTAGAGAACATACTTTTAAAGTAGAGGTGTTGGGGGTGGGGGAGAGTTTAAAGGAGATGTGACCCAGATTTTTTTTTTTAAAACAGACTAGGTGATGGAGGCAGAATACAACAGCAACAGTTGAGGCATCTTGACAGATATATGAATAGACAGAGAGTAGGTAGAAATTGACCATTTAGAGACAAAAGGATTTTAGTTTAGAAAGGCATCATGTGTACATGCAGTCTTAGTGGGCTGAAGAGCCTGATGCTATGCTGTACTGTTTTGTTCCTTGCA